AAATTATAAAGTAAATAAAAATGTAAATAAACTTTTATAATAACGAACATTTACAAGTGCGATCGTTGCCGTTAAATATCAATAGTATTCTTATCGAAACCTACTATAGGACTTATGTGTATACTTATAAACTACAATGATGTAATACCGACATGGAGCCTACGACTACAAGTATATTATTAACAGAATATCTAAAGCATATGTCACTTTGAATAACGTTCAAATTGAGCCTATAGAAAATACCACAAATCTTTTATTAAATAGATATTGATATGGCTAAATTTAAGTTAGAACTTTATTCTTACCTATACACAAAAGTGTAATATTTACTGTCAATTATAGTACTTTTTAACACTTCTCACAAATGTATGTAATATAAAATGATAAAACAATTTTTCAATTTAATAATATATTAGGTTACCCTTACATTAATCGTATATTCTAGATAATCGTTTCATATATTATTAAACATAAAGTGGCACTTGAATCACAAATACTGGAAAAAATTTGGGGAAACATCAGCAACGTCGGAGGCGGACCACCGGCGGCTCGCTTTACATATGATACTCTCCAACAAAATAGATTATCCTTACATTTAGGCAAGATACTTTACATCACAGGATTACTGGATTGCAAGGGAGCGCGCGGTCCGTCCGCCAACTATCGGCGTCGCCACTCACTAATAAAACAACTCGATAACATCTTTCGTTATATTGTCCTCACTAGTCACTCACTATCGACACTGTGGCGACGCCCACCTCCCGACTCTAGCGCCGCCCCTCCCGACCCGACGCCATGACAGGCGGGAGCGAGCGAGCAGCATACTGCTGTCTCGAGTAACGTCAAACTCCATACTGAGACGGTCGACCGGTAGTGACGCCACTACTGAACTTGGACGTTACAGAATACAGCGTGCTCTATGGTCGGGTAAGTGACGCCCCTGCGACCACTAAGTGCGAACGCCGGCGCCGCTCGCTCCAACGTATATTTTGTATATACTCATTTCCATTTCAGACTATATACTGCTTAAAAGGAATTTACCACTACAAGAATGCACTTCGAATCTCATAATTTTCATTTTTTTTTTTTGTTATATATAAAATTACAAACTAATTGTAAACATTTGTTTATCGGCGAAATGCACTTATACATTTATTGCTGAATAAAAATATCACTATTGGAAAACGAAAGGCTCATTACGAGTGAGAATTCAAAACAGAATAAATAATTAAAAATACATCAGTATGCATAAAACGAGAAAAAAACGAACACGAAAGAAACTCGGAACGCAACAGCTCGACGGGCGAAACAGCAACAGCCCTCGAGTGCAACAAAATAAATACACACTAAAATAAGGCCACGGGACGAGTGACTGAGGTAGCCCGCGACGCAACTATTCTATTCCGATACTACGTTATTTGGTAGAATACAGGAACGGACCACGCGGTCCATCCGGTCCGATCGAGTACGGCAGGCGAGCCGGTCTGACCGGTTCGCCCGCCTGCCACCTAGCTCTAATAATATATATTTCATATAACCGTCGATACATTCTATGTCTGCCGTTGTATATGTATAATTCTTATGTACACTAAAATAATCTACATGAACACTTACAACACAGTAGATAATAGTATTGTGGACAGTTGGCTACCGCGGCCGCGTCGCGTCGCTCTATGCCGCGGCGCGACGCGTCCGCCACGATCTGACTAGGCGAATAAAAATTAGTCTGTCCCCATACGGGGGACCGTAAAGCGTAAATACAAATAGACACTCAGAGCCCGCACCGCCCCAACATGCATACAGCTTCATACGTAAACGTCACGGCGACACCACGTTACCGTACAGGCGGAGACGCATACACACAGATCAATCAACGGGTGCGGAGATTAGTGTTGCCCATCGATACACCACTATCGATACAGACAAAACTTTTCATACCGACAACAGCAGCCGCAAACAAAATCAATACTGTTAACAAACACATGGCGACACTATCGACGGTATACATTTTTCTAACTATCGATAATGAAACTATCGACAGTTCCGCAACACCGTGGATCGTTTTACTTTCGAGGGACGTTCGGGTGACGTCGGCCGGCCGTCGCACATAGGGGTATTTTAATGATCTACGCGGCCAAAAGTCATAATAACAAAGTAAAAGAAATGCAACTACATTCGACTACCACAGGCAGGGGATACTCCAATGAACAATAGGCCGCCGTCCCCGCCCCTCTCCCGTTGCGCGTTACCTGGCAAACTCAGTCGGGACTTGATCATCGAGCTTTGTGTACGTGTCAGTTATCGGCGATTTTTAGAAAGCGTTAACATTGTAAGTTAAACTGCAGTTTTCTGTGTTAGCCTGGTGCAAAGAAGCAATGGATTCGGATACTACAGGTATGTGGCAATCTAAATGTAATATATTTAATAATATTTAATTCCGGTTAATGTATTTTTAGTGATCGAGAAATAATGTCTAAAATGAGAAGATTTTTTATAGTAAATTTATCTTTGAAGCTGTATTTGTTTTAGTATCGGGGTAGATCCGGCTTTTTTTTACATTCATGTTAAAGACGTAGTTTCTTAAGTAACAAATGCTATAAAAATTTGCCGCGGAATAGCGCGGATACATTAAATCAGAGTACTTTGATCTTTTACAGTCGAAATTAGTGAAATATGAATTTATGTTTAAACTTTGTTTTAGGTTCAGGGAATACCTCTGGAGTGAGAATAGTGACTCGTAAATCACTCTTTGATAAGATGAAGAATGAAAATTTACGTAATTTAGAAGAAAAGTTATGTTTTTTGAGAGACCACCTTTTCACTCAAGACGACCTTACTGAAAGTCAGTTAAATAAATTGAAACACAATTTTGCACATTTCAAATCAGAAATGAAGCAAAGGTGGATTAAATCACACAAAAAAGAAGAGGTTTTTTTAAAAAACAACCATCTTTGGCTGGAAGGCACTTTCGAAATTCCTGTTGCAGCCACAAATCGTCAAGGTCGCCCTCGTAAATCATTTAGTGAATCTAGCGAAAGGAGCAAGAGAAGAAAAACTGAAGAGATCCGGTCTAATGTAGAAGATGGTGTTATAGTTCACGCAGCTCAAGTTGAATTAAGAAAATCGGGAAAACGTGATGCTTCCCGTGTACTCCAAGATATAACAAGCACTCCGACCCGTGCAACGAAGTACAAAAAAGCTTACGATACCTCTAAGTATGAAAAATCATCGCGTCTAACCCCCATGGAAGCTTTAAAAATGTTTATAGATGCAGATTTAACACGAGGACAGTATGAAGTTATAAGAAACACGAACAAGAAGTTTTTTCCGTGTTATAGCTTAATTCAAGAAGCCAAAAAAAAATGTTATCCTCCTCCAGAAACGAGCACGGTAACGAGTACCTGCGCCGAAACCCAATTGCAACCATTAATTGATATTACTGTTAAGCGCTTATCGGAATACTTAGAAGACGTCTTATTGACAATAAAAGAGCAAGAGCGGAATACTTTGATGTTGATTTGTAAATGGGGCTGCGACGGATCCCAACAAGCACAGTACAAACAAAAACTTGAAAATGAGGCTGACTCTGATGCAAATATTTTTCAAAGCTGCTTTGTACCTGTGCGACTTATTTGCGGCAAGGACAATCAAAAGGTGTTATGGGAAAATCCAACACCTTCATCTGCCCGATTTTGTCGTCCAATAAGATTTCGTTTCGTCAAAGAGACAACTGATATAACAAACGAAGAGATCAATTATGTTAAAAATTCCATCGATAATTTGGTTGCGACTGAGGTGGATATTGACGAAGAAAAGTTTTTGGTGCATTCCCAATTTGTAATGACAATGGTAGATGGGAAGGTTTGCAACGCAGCTACTGGAACAACATCCACAAGTCGTTGTTATATTTGTGGGAAAACTTCCAAAGAATTTAACAATTTAAAGGACAAAAGGAAGATTTCAAAGAATGCTACTGAATTCGGTCTTTCTATTTTACATGCCAGAATACGATTTTTTGAAAGTATTCTACACTTAGCGTATAAATTGCCTGTGAAAAAGTACCGGCAAAGAAAATCAGAAGAGGAAAAACAAATGGAGATGAATAAGAAAATAGATATACAGACCAGGTTTCGTAATGAAACTGGCTTATTAGTTGACATGCCGAAAGGAAACTTCGGAAACACTAATGACGGCAACACCAGCAGGCGATTTTTTGAAAATCCGAAACTATCGTCAGATATTACAGGAATAGATTACGAGTTAATCTACAGATTAAAAGTGATTTTGGAAACGATTTCGAGCGGATACGAGATAAATTTAGAAAAGTACGAAAAATATGCAGAAGAAACTGCTTGCTTATATGTTAAACTTTATCCGTGGCACCCAATGACACCCACACTGCACAAAGTACTTGTGCACGGATCAGAAATAATAAAAAATGCATTGTTACCCATAGGGCAACTATCTGAAGAAGCAGCAGAGGCACGCAATAAACATTTTAGGTCATACAGGCAGGATTACTCAAGAAAATTCTCTAGAGAATCCTGTAACAGAGACATTTTGAATAGGCTACTTTTAAGCTCGGATCCCTTTTTTAGTGCCTCAAGGGTAATAAAGAAAAATAAGAAGTCTTCCTTTCTTCCTGAAACATTAAATATGCTTGTATCTGCAACACCAAACCCAGTAAACGCACTTCAATCAGAAAGTGAGGATGAGATAAACTGATCATCATTATGTAATATTAGTGTAGATATGTAATCGGTTACATTTTTTTTTTTTGTATTTGTTTTCTCTATGAAATTATAACAAAATACATTATTTATTGATTGTTTATATAATACTTGTTTTATTTCCGTCATTAGAAACTCATAAACCCAAAAAAATGTTTTTGGCCAGGTAAATTTACTAAATACCCCTATGTGCGTCGGTTATCGTCGTCGGTGTGACGTGGCGCGAGATGGAGCTGGATGGCGGGGGTACCTCGTTGAATGGGTATGCGTTTAGATGGACTCGCCGCCGAGCAGGTCCGGCGGGAGGAACGAGTTGAGGGAGGAGGGCGTCGCGCGCTGGTCGTGGTCGGGCCACAGGCCGGGGAATCCGCCCCAGCCGTCCTTGCCGCCGCCGCCCCCGCGCCACACGCCGCCGCCGCCCGAACCGAGGTGCTGCAGGATCATTTGCACCTCGGACTCCGCCGGCGACTCCGCGAAGATGGTCGTGTTGCTAAGCACGCAGTTGTTTAGCGCCATCTGAGCCTGTTCCGATTTTAGATAATTTTGAATTCCACCTTCGCGCACTTGGCGCGATGACTTATTCGTGTTCAGCCGAGAATCCACTAAAAAATCTCCCATTTGTATTACAGAGTATCGCATAGGCAGTGTCTTGGTCAAATATAATAAATATTACAGATAATTACTAAAATATCGTTATAGCAACGCAGTTAATTCGTTAATTGTATTTCACAGCGCAATGCGTAAACACGAGTCCTGTCACGGCGAACATAAAATACAAAAACAAACAAAATAAAAGAGAAACAAGTACTACAGTGTTATTAACGTTCTACTACAGCAATAATTTTATAGGTTCGCTTTCGTACGAATATGTCTGCATATAAAACTGTCTGTGTAAGCTATTTCAAGCCAACAATCATAACCTACATTGGAAAATTCTCTAACCAAAACAAAACAAGACACAGCTAACAATTAAATAAAGTAAATACGAATACACTACAAAATAACCTCATTGTTGAAGCATTTTAGTAAAAACCTGCGATAGGAAAATACTTGTGAAATTCGTATAATATCAATAATTACTACTTTTTAATTATAGTCAACAAAATCAATACGAAGATACACTACTTACAAATTCTAAAAGATCAATAAATAGTTATACTACTTAGTTACATACCTTAGCGGCCTCCTCGCGAGTGGAATAGCGGGCGAGGGCGAGGCCCTGGTTCAAGTACAGGTGGAAGTTCTGCAGTGGACCGTGCTGGATGCAAAGGGTCTTCAGAGTCGACCCATCGATCTGAACACATGAAACAATCAAAGTTGCTAAATGTCACAATGAGACCTTTCAAATATTCGGGATACGATATAACTCATACGATTTCACATGACACTAGATAGCCTATTAAATTCGTAGTCTCAAATGAAGAGTCAAAAAATTTTGAAGTTTTTATAATTCTGTTAAAATCATATCCATAAAGATACCTCCCATTGTATCATAAATTATTGAAATATGCGTTTTTTGAAGTCTTATTAGCGTTTCGAAAATAGGACTAAATTTCATTTTCAGTTAAATAGGCATCATGTAGATTCGTACGTGAGTTTGGTCAGAGTATCAAAATTGGAAACAAAACAATGACTTAAAACAATTCTAATTTGGAACTAATGAGTAAATAATATTGCCAAATACTTGGCAAATATGGTGAAGAGAGGACCTATAAATACAGTCAATATATCACCTGACTACGCCCACGACTTGTCTAGACAGTTTGGCATGAGTGGCATGCATCTTGTGACATCATTTTATTACAGCTAATATCCAGCAGAGTAATGAGTCATATCCCTATTTTAACATTTAATAATGAATATATGATGTTTAATCTCTTCATTATCAGAATCAACTATCATAGCAAATAACTGTACAATTGTTCAACAATCAGCAAAATTAGTTGACCTCAAGATTTAGTAACAATATCCAAAGTACTATTGAGGGTTTAAGTATCAGTTTTACATGACTTTCATCATTTATCCAATACAAAAATCACTATTGCACTATTCAAAACTTCTTTTTTTAAGAGGACTGTTATTTATAATATATCCTAATTAATCGACATCTTTACGGCATCTAAAATCTCTATAAATTATCCTGCTTAGTTCTCTACTACTGATGCTTTGGTGTATATTGTAAATTTGGCTTAAATTTAAGAAAATGAACCACATTAAAACCGAAATGTGGCACATAAGCATTTCATCCATCACTACACTAAACTTACGACTTTACATACCTGAGCAGTAAGGTTCTTGAGCAGAAGCCAAGTGGATGTCTGCCAGGAGGCGACAGGTCGCTGTTGAGCGTTTCCATGGTGCTGCGGCCAGGGCTTGTTGAGGCCGGGGGGCGCGGGCCGGGGCTTCCCCGCCCACGTGTCCGCCGGGGGCTTCAGTGCCGCCGCCGCACTCGTGGCCGGCGGGGCATAGCTCCAAGTCGACGAGGAGAGGGAACGCTCACCGCCCGGGGGCGATGTCTTCCCTCCCAACATGTCAGTGTCTTTGATCGCGGCCAATGAGAGGGGCGAACGTACGACGGAACCGGGCGTCATGGCCGGATCATCCTCTACATTCTTCATCTGGTTACCCTAGTTACGGGTATTCATAATTTAAATATATACATTTGAAATTCAATTTGAAAACACAGTTTTCTCCTATAAATCTAAAACGATTGTATACTATTCTGCCACTTTCATGTAAAGTGGCAGAATAAAAACACAACATAGTAATTTGTCGTTTTATTTCCTTTATATGTCATATTCAAAATTATCATCTATCTCTTGCACACTTCATTGCTTACCCTCCACTGTCATGTCCCACACAAGTCATTTTCTGGATGTTCATTGCCGCTTCATACAAAAGTAAGTAATTCCACAAATTCCGATAAAATAAGTTACTTGAACTTATCCATGCAGTGATGTAGTTCGATAGTGATAACTTACCTTCCACGGCTTGCCTGGTTCGAACTCCGGCACGAGATCATAAACCGGTTGGTGTGATGGATGAGTCGGCCATGCATCCTTTCCGTCGGCTACGTCCGCGCCACTATCTCCCCAACCTTCAGAACCGCGTCCCACGCCCCAAGTGCTAACAAATTACATTAAAAAACCATTAGTATCTGTAATATCACTCTCCAACAGATCAACGAAGCAGTGGACTACTTGGTTGTTATAACAATAACATACACAACAAATCAATAAACAGAACACTGCAAACTTTAATGGACAAAAATTTTGTACATGATTTTTCATTATTACAAGTAAAATTTTGTTATTTAGGTATTCCTGTGATACACCTGCTGCTGGTAATTATAACATACAAAAGTACTTATTTAAGTTAAGGAAATCCAATTTTGTCGAGAATGAGTTGCTGTACATAATATTCTAGGTCTAGGATTTGTTTCTGCCTGAAATAGCAGAATATTTATTCTATATTAAAAGCTATGCTTCTATAAGCAATGTTAATATGGTATGATTTTTTAGTAGTGTACTAACGAGTCAGGCTGTAAGCCGAGCTGATTGAGCTGGGGGCTGGTGGTAGACTTGGCAGTGCCTGGTGCCCGACTGAACTCTGAACCCTCGCCGTCTTTATCCAGCGACGGAAGCTTCCACTGATTCAGGCGCGACTGTTGATTTCCGCCACCTCCATACTGTATAATGATTCAATAACTTATCATCATAATAAGGCACATGATTTACTGTGTATATCATATAAGAAGAAACCCACCATACATGATGAGCTGTCAGATTTTAAAGTCTTATATAATTTACGATTTACTCACATCTGATATTTTCTTATTTATAATTAATGTATATTTATTATACTAACCGCTTGAGCGTCTTTAGTAATGCTTATATCGCTGAAGTTGTTCTGAAGCTGTACTAAAGGATCATGGCTTGGCTTGAAGAGATCCGCTCCGCCTGCTTGCTGCTTCATGTATAGCGCTTGCTGTGTTGTTATTTGGTTCTGCATGAACAAGTAATACTTTGTTTTTTACACCAATTTCTATTCACAACTTAGTATAAAACTATGGAAACTTAGATATGGGTTAGAATTGAGGGCCAGAAGTACAGAAGCTTTGTTTGATGGCTTTGTATAGTTGGGTTAATAACAGTAAGTTTAAGTTGGACAGCAAAAAAAAATCCCATTTTATGTGTAGGCAAGTTATCTAACAATTTCATTTCTGTACAATTTTATCATTATAACGACATTGTTTAATGCCAAAGTTTTAGTCTAGGCTGCATAGAGACAGATGGGAAAATATGAACAAGGATTTCTTGATTACCAATCATCACCCTATTAATGTTACCACCACTGCAGGGGCACATGTGCTCCATGTGGACGGAATCAAACTGGGAGAATGCATAATTCACCACTAATAAGCGACTTGATAAATATATAAAATGCTTTTAAGAACACATTCATAAAATTATATAGTTTCACTTACCTGGAGACCAGTTATTTGCTGTTTCGCCTTAGTTATCTGCACTGAACACTGCAGAGCGATTGTAGAATTGCCCTTAGAGAGAGCTACTGAATGCTGTTGTGCTAGTTGTTGAAGTACTTTGATCTGCAAATAAAGTCAGGTTTAAGGATTTTATTATGCTATCCTAAAAATTTGGCACAATATTTTGTGTTCTAAATAATTAAGAGTGGTTAACAATTAATATTTTTAAATTTCTAGTAGTATTTTTCTTTCTACGTGTATTATCATTTATTGAATTTCATATAATGCTCCTACATAGCAAACATGTAACTTTTATGTGGACCATGCTTTTCAATCAATTATTTTATAGAACTATAAAAGATATTATATAAAGATCAGTGTGAATTATAAATAACAAAGGTCTTAAAATAAATCCTTGTGGAACAATATTATAATTATTGACAAACAATCAAACATTTTGATAAAAAATTTACTACAGATTAATTCATAGGCATTTCAATTCATTTATCCTTTTGCTGTTAATTATTTTTTTTATTTATAAAATACATAATCATATAACATAAAGTCAAAAGCTTTGGTTGTGTCAAATGTTTGTTCTTTCATGGTAGGTATATTTTTAACAAATTTAATTCTGCCAATTATTTGAAACTATCTTTTTTAAACTTATAAATGCTAAGTCTGCATAGCTTTGCCAAAATTTCTATTCAATTCTGTAAAAAGCATCATTAATCAATTTTGTAAAAAATAAGTTACCTGTTGTAACAATTGATTGAGTAACACGAGTGTCTGAGGCGCCAAAGGCTGATTGAGAATCTGGTGGTTAAGGTATCCTGCAGAAACCGCCATCTGTATTTGTTGCACGAGCATACGAAGTTGCGCTGTGCTCGGTTGCCCGCTATTGCCTGTGCCACTGTTAACAATACCATACATCATTAACTCCTTGTTTAATAATAACCTTGTCGTCTTAAGTAAGTCAGTCAGTAAAAGCACTTGAGATTTAACATAGATATAAATTATTCTTAATGTATATTTCTAATACCACTTTAGTACCTTAGTGGTGTCTTTAGTTACAACTCAGACTTTAAGAAAATTGACAAATTCAACCGCATACCTATTCGGGTTGTAAGAATGGTGATGCTGAACTGTTTGAGGCGGTGGTTGGTTAAGCAGCTTTTGTACCACCGCAGGTGACACTGATGGAACATTAGGTGGGGGTTGGAATTGCGCATGGTGGCCGAATTGCTCGTCTCGTCGCCATCCGTCGCGGCTCGTTGCCGACAATAATTCTAATGCCTCTTCTGCGTTCATGTCGCGATTACGGAGTGCCGCTTCCGCTTCTTCCTTCTTAAAACCCATCTCTACTAAGAACCTGTGAACAGAATATATTAAATAAAATATCAATATTAGACACGAATATTCTTACATAGCACAATTTGTTTAAAAATTAAAGAGTGCAAAATTTGAAAGTAATATAAATCCAAACGAACCTGAATTGCTTGCTATTCCACACCATTTCTTTAGGCAATTGCTTGCCAAGGGGTCCAGCCGGCGGAGGCTTGGGTCCACCCCATTCGCCGATATCATCTGGCCATCCACCTCCCGGTCCTGTAGGTTTAGGTTTAGGAACGGGCCACAAAGCAGGCCCAGATGGGTCAGGCCATGCGGAGGCATCGCGATCGGGCCAAGCAGGGGCGTGCTGTTCCTCCCAGGAGCCATTTCGTTGAGCGTGAGCGCCCCATACTGCATCAGGTTTCGTTGGCGTGGGTGGGATTCTTTGGGGCGCAGGTGGTCCTTGTGGGGCCCCACGTCCTGCCATACCAGCCATACCGCGCTGTGCCCACAATGATGTGCCATCATCAAAACCACCAGCTGCACGGCGAGCCGCTGGTGGAGAAGGTTCTTCCCAACCCGAAGATTTGATAGATTCCTTTGGACCCTGCAAATAAATGCTTATATTCACTCATCAAAATATCAAGCAGACTGCTAAATTTGACAAAGACAAAGTGATTAAATGGATTGTAGTAATACGATTTATATAGTCAGTTGTACTTTACCTGAGCACCCCATTGATTAACGCCACCAGTCGGCATCATCTTGTTTGGTCCGCCGGCATGCTGGTGGTGTTGACTCCACATGTCACCATTGAGCCGACCAGAGATGCCGCCGCGTAGATCGTGACGAGGATCTGAGGGTTGTTGACGCGGATCTGCCGAGCGATGGGGATCTAAACGTGGATCCCCACCGCGATGGGGCTCACCCCACGCATTCCAATCATCCTTCTTAGGAACGCCCCACTGTTGTGCGTGTTGTGGCGGTCCGGCTGGCCACTGTTGAGGTGGCGGAGGCCCGGTCCAAACGTTTGCGGAATCAGCAGCGTCATCGTCTTCTCCCCAAGTGCCACCGATATTTGTTGTTGGAGTGTGACCCCAAGGAGTTTTGGCGGCGGGCTGCGGAGGCGGCTGGCCTCCATTCCTGAGATTAGCCTCCCAGAGATCAGTTCCGAGAAATGCACCATTGTTGATGCTTGGCTTCCAAGCAGGCTGAGCGCCGGCCGTTGGCTCTACCTTCGAACCTGGTTCTGGAGACCCAGGTACATCCCAGTTGGTATCTTGGTTGACATGTTGCTGTGGAATAAATTTTAGTGTAAGAACTTTGCTTTCCTTACATATTTTTTTTATTACTATAGAAATACTTACTCCACCCCATCCATCTTGACTGAAAAGTGCCTCCCTCATAGAGTTGATCTCAATCTTGGCAGAAGACGTACTATTCACATTATTACCATTGTTCCCATTACCACCAGTTGGCCCATTCGTGTTTGCAACTGAATTAGCAGGGTTGCTGCCTCCATTGTTTCCATTCCCCGAATTGTTAGTGCCTACCAAAAAGAAATGATAATTTAACAATATGTTCATTTATTATCATGTAATTTGTTAATATGATGTAAGTACCATTGCTAGCTGGCGCACCATTGTTGTTAGACTGAGAATTTGGCATGTTGGGCGGAGAACTTTGCCAGTTTTGGCCAGAAGCAGCACTCGTTGGTGGCATTTGGTTTCCACCACCTTTGTTACTGTTCACTGTAAGAAATAGAATTCATAAGATTGATAACGATAAGAAAATTCAACACAAAAAAATGTGCCATTTGTTATTAGCTGCGTACACAACTTGGGTAGAACAAAAATAAAAATATTATGTGTAACTAAATGACCAGACAAATAATGACTATAGTTAAGCATTCTAATTGTTTGATTTAAAAACAACTTACTGTCTGCTTGGGAAGTAGGCGGCCGTTGAGCCGTGTTGTTCCATTGTTGAGTATTGTTAGATCCATTATTTGTTTGGCCACTGCTGTTGCCGCCCCAATTCCCAGCTACAAACAAAATACGTATTATTATTGATTACAATTATATCAACCAAAAAATTTTGAAGTCTGTTTGAATAATGACTATGATGATATTCTGCAAGGTTGTTTTACACCCCATTAACTAAATGTAAGAATTAGAATTATTCCAATTAAATAATAGTTAACTAATGGCCAATAATTATTAAAGCTATTCACATTCTTTGTTCAACAAAGAAACTTCCTAAACTTAACAACAAGTACTTGTTTGTTATCTTCATGGTTCATTGACTGTTATGGACTATTTACAATTTCCTTTTAGAAACTTTCTTTAATGAATTTTTAGTTTATCACATTAATGTTTATTTGTTGTTTGTTAATAGAAGACAGATCGATTTATTTAAAAGTAACAAAAATAGAGTAAAAGAAAATCACCACTATTATTGGAAGCAGGAGGACTTCCCCAACCAGTGGCAGCATTCAATGAACTCTCTCCACCACCGCACAAGCGCAATCGGCGCGGTACCCCCCAACTGTCCATATCTTCACTAGCCAGACTCTTCACTAGGGTCTCCTCTCTTCTAGTGAGTTCCAACATCGCATCCAAAGTGAGATCACCGTTAGCAAATACTTTCAAAGCTGACTTAGAGCTTAATGCTCCATAGTTATTGTCATGGTGTGTTGTAACAGACTTGTCATAATCAGTATTCATTCGAGTTTTCCTTTTGCATATCATATCACGAGCAGACTTTTTGTTTACTAGTTGCGTCTCGCAAGGCTCATCTCGTATAATACAAACTGAGGATTTAAAAGCGTAATCAGACTTGTTCACATACTCTGGCGCTCCCAACGCCATCTTATACTTTAAGTTAAAGCTACTGAAATACGGGTCACTGTATGAGATACCCTGGACTGTTATGGCGTTAATCATTAAAGGAATGCAGTATTTAGGCGTATCGCCAATCATTTGGTTTTGTTGGATACTATCAACAAACTCTACATTATAAATATTATTATCTACCATTTTTACACTAACTTGCTGACTTTCATTCTTCTTAACGACTCGCTCAAAAGCACCAAATTTATTTGTGTACACCACCAATGATGAGGTGGAGTTATTACATTGCATTGGTTCGGTAACAGTTATCAATATTGGAGTAACAATTATCCTTAATTAGACGTGGAACACATAATATTACAGAAACATTAGACATCAGACAATTATTTATAAATAGAATAATTTTCTACAATATCCACCTAGCATTAGACTTATTTTCACAGATTGCATATTGTTTCAATTATAGACTAAGTAACAATGGTTCGTAGTGATGCAGTCAATTAAGCAGGTAGCAGTGTTTAGTGCCTCTGTGACAGAGGGCAGGGTGAGATCACCGCTCAAGCTGCTGCGGATACGCCTCCAAGCCCCAATTGGCCCAGCCCTAAAACATCAAAAGATATTGTCAATAATTTCTTAATTATTACCTCGATTGTTATGAACCTCATATGTGAAAAAACACATATGAGGTTCATAACAATCGAGGTAATAATAATTAACAACAAATTGTAGAATTAACATTATTCAATAAGAAGTAGAATTTTTTTTATATTATGTATAATAAAGTATATGTAGCCTAAAAAAATCACTTCTTTTAGCTATATAATGACCTAATTAGTGAAATCTCGTTGGGAAATTTATTTCGGTATAATTTTGTTGTTTGTCTTTTAATCTACCTTATAGGACGGACGAGAGGCTGAGCTGTATATCACAGATAATGCGGGCTCGGCAGATCCTTCAAGCAGCTTTGCAGTCAGCTCGAATTTTCGAATCTATACATACAACGAAATTAAAAATCATCGCCTGATAATTTTCATAAAACAAAAACACATGAACTGATATTCAGATGTAGGTAAATGGATTTTTCAGTTTTTGGGGTTATCTCAAGGACTAAACACAAATCTACAAATACATCACAAAAACCCACCCAACATAGTACCTATAGCTCCATCATAAAATTATTTGCGTCGCCTCGATGCGATAAGGACACATAATTAACATTTATAAATAAGATTGAAATCGAACTGGCAACAGCGATTCTTCGATACTACGCCATTCCGTGAACAAGCACAAGTACCATGCACAAAACACTTGTCATTACACTGACCAATAACTCGAATTTCACATTTCTATAAAAACCAATAATCTTTTCTTGCACTAGGTAGATGTACATATGTATATTTGTGTATTTCGGCCTTGAGTCTCGACGACTCGATGGAGAATATCTACTAAATCGTATACATATATCTATATTCTGCCATCTAAAGTACCTATCTATATCTAGAGTGAAAGTTAGCACGACCCATACCAAAGGATCCCGACCCTTATTTAAACTAAAATCATTAGTGCATAGGCACAAAAACTTTATAAAAACGATTAACGAATATTATTGCCAAAATATATACATTTTGTAAGCAAAAATACAAAAAAATCTTACGTGACACGACCGAGCACAACGGTGTTATATTACTAGAGGGACTGAGACAGAAAATGAAGCAAGTTGCTGACGTTCTACTTAATAGAGCGAGACAAAAGATACGCCTGAGAAAGCGATGCCATAAATGCCCAAAAGGCTCGTCAACGCCATCAAATGATATTTTCTACAAAGAAGTGTATTTTCAGATGCATACCTTTGTTTTGTATAGTAGTTGGCACATAAACTTTTAGAGATTTATACAAAATCACAATCCCAAACCCCCGAGAACACGGCTTCGACGGCTGGATGGAATGATTTCGTCGTCGGGGTTCGCACGAAATGCTACTAACCAAACCTATTCAAGATGGACGCTGCCACGATAAAATTATTTACCGAGTTGCGCCGTTTTATCACAGTCGGATAATAGCAATTTTCAATATATACCTGTATAAATATAGTTAAAGAAGTATCTATAGCATAGCAGTACCCTATCTATAGAATAGTATAGGTACATGTAATATACCGTACGATTACATGCCTACTTATTTTTATACAGACAGCTTGGTTGGTTTGGAACAGTAAACATTCATAAACAATAGTATCTATCTACTAATATGAAGTAGAGTTTTATAAAATAGGACTCAACGTCTTGATTTTTTTGATAGATTACGCGTAAAAATAGGTATTGAGGTAGTTTTGACGTAACAACGCGTCCGACGTTGTTCATAATTTAATAGGTAGCTAACAATGTAGCTTATATCTTTATAATATGTTCAGGCACCTAATCTAGTTATCGTTTATTATTATTAACTTCGGTACTAAAAATTGAATACGTACCTATTAGTAGTAGGTAGATAGTAAGTAGTAGGTACCTAATGACGTAAGGAAATCACTTAATTTCTTCACAGGTAGGTTCAATATGTTCAATAAAAATAACTAAATAACTAGATTCAATGAAAACCAAAAATTTTAATGTACTATGTACCTAATTTTAAAGAACGGAGTAGATGCTATCCACTACTGAACTTGGTTTTCTCACTGCTCTGTTCCTATTTACTAAAATAAATACTATATTCAGAAACTAAAACCCAACTACAGTTTAATTACGCTAATATAGCTATCGCTATAAAATAAATTTCTTGGTGTAAACTTTTTAGAGCGTGACGTAGATTTGTAGTCGGGTTTTAGTTTTTGAACATATGAAATGTGCTAATTAAACACTTTCATTTGATACCGTACAGGGAGTGACTGAATATTTTTTTAGTTTCTTACTTTATGCTCTCTAGAGGACGCTTTTGAAAATTTAATGTAACGTCAAGTAGCCTATAGCACGCGGACAGCTAAGATGCTTCTAATGATACCTCACTTGTCCAGTTACGATGAGTACTTTCGAAGTTATAAGGGAACAGATTATCATTATTTCATACATACCGGCCAAAACCAAAATCATAACGCACTTTTCGCTTCGCCGCCGTAGTCGGGTAAATTCTAGGAATAATGCTTAATCTTTATCAGTGTTTGTATAGCAACTTAACACTCTTGGCAGTATAAAGTGGTTTATTACATTTTATTGCACTCAAAATAACATATGTACAGGAAAAATCATTTAAGAAGAAAATAAGAAATATGGATAGGTACTTTGGAGAGAAGCTACGTTTGGTAAGGATAAAAAATAAATATCGCATTTATTTAAAAAACACGAAAAGCCCGATCCCACACCCATGCTACGTTCGGCGGCTGTGGATATATCGTCTTGATTATATCTCCACGCCTCTATATTTGCTTCTTTTTTTAGTATTCGTACCTCAAAAAGAAAAAATGGAACCCTTAGGCAACAGCCGGCCCGCGAGACATTTTTAAAAACCTAATTTATAATAACATTCTAGTATTATTTCATGTCTGATATCTATCACAAAAAAATATGAGCACAACAACACTACTTTAAAATGTACTACTTTCAAACGTAGCCCGCGAACGTATTTGCACACTAAAGTTTGGCCCACAACATGTCCAAGGTTGCCCATACCTTATAGGATCACTTTGTCGTCCGTCCGTCTGTCTGCAAGACAGACAGACAGACTACCACAAATTTTCGAAACTCGCAAGGTAATCAAAACCTACAGGGTACTTCCCGTGAACTCAGAATCTTAAAATTAAGTACAACGTCTTCTAGCACAGAAATAGGAATAGTTTTATAGTTACTATCCCTTTCCTCATGAACACGTAGAGGTATTAAATTGACATTCATATGAAATACTTAGATCTATAATGAAATGAAAATGTCTTTATTCAAGCAAGCTTGTTACAAGCATTTGAATCGTCCAAAAAAAAGTTTTTTCCTCTACCACTCGTTCAGGACGTCTTTTAGCTGACAAGAACAACAAGCGGAAGAAACTTAGCAGCTCTTTATCTTAAGTAATGACATTTACGTAAATCATGTCATTACCAAAATAGTACGTATTATAACAGTAATAAATACAATTATCAAAGACTGTAGGACATGGGTTACAAATAATTAGTCGTTGTAGAACAAAAAGAAGGCTATTAATTCCATGCATAGCGGTCTTTTACATAATCATCAACTTTATAATAAGGCTTCACACATAAGCATGGTCTTTACATGAATTTTAAATTTATTTACTGGTAAGTCAATTACATTTTGTGGAACTTTATTGAACATAGCAATGCATTTACCCAGAAATGAATTTCTAGTTTCTTGAAGTCTGAAGCTTGGAATGGCAAGTTTATTTTTATTTTTTGTGTTAAGGTTATGAACACTACTTTTTTAGTGAATGAATCGTAATGTTTTCTTGTGTACATAATATTTTCATAGATGTAATGAGAAGCAACAGTCAAAATATTTAATTTCTTTAAATATTTCTCTGAGAGATTCCCTAGGCTGTTAATTTATATAGCGCGGACAGCTCTCTTTTGTAGAATAAAAATATCTTGAATGCTAGCCGCAGAACCCCATAACAATAAGCTATACGCCATTACATCATGAAAATAACTAAAATATACCAATCTTGCCGTTTCAACTTTTGTCAAGAGTCTAATTTTCTTAACAGCAAAAGGTGCAGAACACAGTCTATTTGACAAGGTATCAATATGAGGATCCCATTGCAGTCGGAAATCTAATGTTATACCAAGGAACTTAGTCGATTCTATCAACTCAACTTTTTCACTATTTACATTTATAAGTGCACTAACATTTGGTAATGCAAACTGTATGCATTTCGTTTTATTTAAATTATTATTATCAAACCACCGTAGAACATTTTCGAGAGCATCATTTACATCGTCAAAACAACCATTAACACTCTTTACTTTAAACATTAAAGAAGTGTTATTGAAGACACGCACAGTTGGTGGATGGTAATTTTATTATAAGAGATTTTATTTACGAATAATCAAAAAAAAAATAACTAGTAAAAAAAAACAAATTCAAAAAGTATAAAAACATAAAATATGTAAAAAAAACTATTTACATAAGCTGATGGCCAGTGTCTGTCGTCCACACTCCCCCCCAGTGTGAGCACTAATTAACTGGTCAACGGTATTAACACCCGGATTGCACGCTTTAGGGTTGCGGCCTTAGTCTGCATGTCGACAGTTCGTATCCTCCCACTCGGCCTGGATAAACTCTGGTGACCTTCCCCCTGGGCCACGAAGAACGAGGAAGTGAGCCGTCTGCGATTTGTACTTAAGTCACCAAGGCCTATCTGATTCTCCGAGCCTGATCTTCTTGGAGCCAGACTAGGCAGGATCTCCTTTGTCCATCTTTGCCAAAAATGGTCGTCCAGTCTTAAACCCTTCTTGTAATCCGCCCGGCAGCATAGGTCGGCATCAGTAAGGATTTTCATTGGATGATCACCAGCAGGTCCTCCAAGAAGAAAGTGAAAAGGAATCAGGGCCTCATCATCATCCTGTCCAACGGGAACGTGCGTTAATGATCTGAGCGTTCACAATAGCCCCTGCTTCAGCGAGAAATGTCAACAAGATCTCCTCCTTTGGGGCCTTAGAGGGCGACCTTGATGCTTCTCACTAGGCGCTCCCAGCATCCGTCCATAAATGGAGCCGCGGGCGTAATAAAAGACCACTGAACGTTTCTGTATGCAGCGAAGTCATACAAATCATCGAGCTTTCGTGATGCCCCAACAAAAGCAGTTCCATTATCGGAATAAATAAATAAAGGACATCCTCGACGAGCAATAAACCTCCTGAGAGCCATAAGGGCTGAATCAGTGGTAAGTGTTTCGACAACTTCTAAGTGCACGGCCCTGTATCTTTATTAGGTATGAAATTGCACGTTAGGGTAACTAGTAATATATAAATCTCGGACTTAACTAGTGTGAAGGTTGATATTGCCGTTTCTGACCCGTAGAACACCAAAGTGGTTCACCTAGGTGTTCCACTGTTAACTTTTTGTACCCCTGGTTCACCTAGGTGTTCTGCCATTCAAAATAATGTACCCGTAGTTCACCTATCTAATGAAACACAAGTCATCCTAAATAATTGAAAATCTTAATGTTAAAATTGATAAAATTAAAGATTTTCAGGACAAAACCAGAAAGAAATCTGTTTTGGTAATGTAATAACTTAATAAGAGACTGAAAACAGACTTTACTCCAGGGGTGAATATTCTACTTTTAATTAATAGATTTTGTGTCAAATGCTTGGTTAGCATAAAAAAATCGCCTAATTACGTAGCTTTCCTAATGCACTCACTAATTGCAAGATCCTTATTAACTAATTGCATTTGTATGTTGAGAATATAGTTATCATTTTCGAGAATTATTTTTCTTTTTTAATAGGATTTTTTATCAACAGGTTTTTTTATCAAAAAAAAATTAAAAGTCTAAATAATGTCACTGTGTTTTTGTTTAGCGCTCGGTTTCATTTGGCATTGAAGCCTTCGGTAACATTATTGGTACGGTGATGCTGTCTAAATACACTTAATGTTTTCATTATATCATTTTTTTTAAAATTGGCCAGTACATGAGTAGAGGACAAAAGGATGGTCAGCGGTCTCGATTCCCATCAATTTCCTACACCCAAAGAGTTTTAAATTTTTGGCTGTGTAGAAATAATCCAATAGATTTTAATATTTAGAGGTGCAAAAAGTTAGCCGTAGAAGTAGATCAACAAAAAGAGTATCCACAGAAAATTTATACCTAGGTGAACCAGGGGTAAACAAAATTAACCGTGGAACACCTAGGTGATCCATGGGTACAAAAAGTTAACAGTGGAACACCTAGGTGAACCACTTTGGTGTTCCACGAGTCAGAAACGGATATTGCTTTACATTCGCAAGTTTAACAATATTAGATTCGGTTTCACTCAA